CTCAATAGACGATTGCTCAAAAGTAATAGTGAGGAAGAAAATACAGAGAGCCCCGGCGGGAGGGACACTAATAACAGTGGTTTCCCTCCCAATGGGACTGGAACCTCTAGATAAGGTAGCCGTGGACTACAAAGCAGTGGGTTGGTGGCATCCTCAGAAGTCATCAGTCGTAGGCCTAGATGAGTATACAACAAGAGAAGGCACTAGGTTGCAGAGACTGAAGGTTAAGAAACCACCAACAGTAGTTGTTGCTAACAGACGACAGCAACAAGGACTGCTAATAGTACCAACGGAACACCTTTCATCCTTCTGGAATCAGCTCAAACAACTTCCTTCACAACGACTATCAAGTATATTATGGCTTCAGTCCATGTTGGCTACAACTTCAGCGGTGAACTTAGTCTCAAAAGGGATGGAGATTTTTGCAGGATGTGTGAGATGCAGATGCATATTGGAGGACTCTCGGCATCTATGGTTGACCTGTCCTGCGTCAAGAAGAATCTGGGATTTGTGGATTCAGCATTGGAACAGGATCACCAACCAGAAATTTGTCTGGTCAGACGACTAGATACTGAACAGTTTCCATGACTCATCTATCTCAGAGGAAAGCGACTGGCTTTATGTAGCTCAAGCCACCGGGGCTATTATTATGAAGATCATTTGGGACGGCAGGAATGACCAACTGTTCAAGAAGAAGTTCAAATCAGACAACGCTATCAAGAATACAGTTACTCAACAGATCAGGATAACGGTACAGAGTGACTGGCTTCGCAGGCTAAACAGGAGCAAATATGGTAAGGTTAGGAAATGGTTTTGGGACACCTGGGGGAGGGAGTCCAGATTAGTGAAGCTTACTGCGGAAGGCAGGCTGTGCTTCTCGCCCTGGCTCCTAACCCCAGCCGGTCATGGGGAGCGTTGTAGCTCCCCTCCATAAATCCTTGGAGTTGGAGAGTATGAAACATTGATTAGTTAGTTTTCTTTGGTACTCTTCAGGCATGGACAGTAATCTGTTTGGCAGAAGCCCTTTTCTTTTTTGAGTTTGTTGGAGTACTTTCGAAGAGGGACACTGGACCCCGTTTCCAGGAGCCTATAGCTGGGTAAAGGCCCGAGCATGTTTTTTTTGTACCGGGTTGTCATATCGAGGTGTATTCCCGGGCCTCTGTCTCTCTATTGAAATAAATTGATTCTTACTCAAAAAAAAAAAAAAAAAAAAAAAAAAACACTTCAAAATATAAATCCATCGCAATTTCTCTGCCATCCGATTCTCCTGCATCAGTGGTTGGACGATGTCCCCCGGGCTGTGGTCCCATTAGCAAAGAGCATCGGATTGAATGTCTGAATCTGGAGGTGTGTTCGCAGCCAGGTATGGTTGCGCTTAGGGGGGTTGCGACTTTCTGCACATTTCCACAAAAAAACGTCCAGATTCGGGCGTTGAGGAAACTTTTCGTTTCGAGAAATGTTTATAGATGGGAAAAGCGGCATGTACAACGTCGTTGCCTGCCAACAGTCGGGCATGGCCATGGGCATATATGTCGACGGTTTGGGGGGGGAGTGGGGGGGGGGCTCCGTCTTTCATAGCATAATCACACAGGGACTTTCCCGGATGCATCTGACCGCAATCACGGCTCGCATTGGATGCATTCTACAGCAAAGGCTTCCAGAGCTCGGTCG